TGATAACTCCAGTTTAATGATGAAAATTATCAGACAAACCCAAACAGAGGGATATTATAAGAAATTCTTGGCCAGTAGTCAACTAAATTATCAAGAAAAGCTTAAAAATTGCTGCAGAGCTAAGAAAACAAGGCAACCGAATGCAATGTAGCACGCTAGATTAGACCCTGGAATGTAAAATAATATTAGACCTAAACCCATTTCTGATAAAAATGTTATTAAAATAGAAAGAGAAAGGGATTTCTCAACATAATAAAGACCCTCTACAAAAATCAAAAGACCAACATCACAAACTCATGGGGAAAAACTGAAAACATTTCTCCTGGGAATGAGAACTAGACAAATTTGCCTCCTATAGCCACACTTATTCAATATTGTGTTGGAGGTCCTATAAAGAACCATTACACAACAGAAAGAAATCAAGGAATACTAATGGACAAATAAGAAATGAAACTCTTACTATTTGTAGATGATATTCTTTTATATAAATATATGTCCAAGGATTCCACAAAAAGACTTGTAAACAATGGAGAGATATGGCAAAGTAGCAGGATACAAGATTAATAAGCAGAAATCAACTGGATTCCTATATACCAGGGAAGAGTTCCAAAAAAATACATCAAGAAAACAGTATCAGTTACAATAACTACACAGAAGATAAAAAATTTAGGAATAAACCTAACCATCCAAACAAACAAACACAAAACCTGTACAAAGAAAACTACAGAACATTATTACACAAAGAGACCTACACAAATGGAAGAGCATGTCATGTTAAAAGATAGGATGGCTTGGATAGGATGACTTAATATTGTGAAAATGTCAGTACTACTGTCAGCAATCTACAAATGCAGTGCTAGTCATATCCAAATCCCATGGATGGACCTGGAAACCATTATGCTGAGTGAAGTTAGTCAATCACAAAGAACAAATATTGTATGAATCCATTATTATAACGATAAATACTAAGATGAAGGCAGGCTTCTGCTCTCAGGTTATGTACTCTTCCAACCCCATCTCCAAAGC